TCGGGAAGCAGCATGGACTGAAGGACTTTCTGGCTGCCAGCATGTAGCCTCTTGGCACCCATTGGCTGCGAACTGTGAAGAGCAGCCAATGGGAGCTGAGAGGCTCTGTACCTGCAGCCTGCACATCTCTCAGCCAGTGCTGACAAGCTTGCTTATAAATGGGTCGGTGACTTTTTCCATTTTCTCTCTAAGTTTGGGGGGGGGGGTTTCTTATAAATGAACAAGCTTATGTTCGAGTCCTGTTCCCATGTATTTTTCCCCTTTATATATTTTCAATATTTTAAAACTTTTTCAGGGATTGTTTCACTGTCATAGTTTAAACTAACTATTATGATAGACACTGGGCTAAGAATTTCTAAAAATTTCTCAAGCAGCATTTTTCTTACTTTGCTTATTTGTAAATTTTGATATTATTGATGGAAATATTTTTTATTTGTAAATGTAGGTTAAATTGACAATTACCTATAACAATCTAGCCCTTCAAGCCTGAATATAGTGTCTATTGTAAATTAGCATTGAACGGCCCTCCCTATTCCTCAAAACTCTCCTTTCCCTATCTTCAAGTTTATCTACACAACACAATCTTTAGAAATTAGTCAAGTGAGAAATCTCCTTAACATCTGTTTTATAACATGTTTAGACTACACTGATACACATGGCTCTTTTTTATATAGGGAGCAAAGCAAGTACATTTAGATCAAGACTTGAAGAACATTCTTATGGAAGCACCAGGAAAATGTGTCCCATATGCAGTTATTGAAGGTATTGTGTATAAGTACCTATGTCACTACAGAGTTATAAATGCAGCTTCCAATTACTAACACGGCTACCCCTCTGATACTTTTCATTGTCATCTCTCATGCTGGTTCAGGTAACTAAAGCAGAGGATGGATGAGAAGACACTGAGTCATCTAACAATACTTGCAAGGATAATGAAATTCCATTTCAAGCAATAGGCTCAGTATATACATGTACAAAATAGTTCGTAATGTTTCCAGTGGATTTAATGCCAGACAGACATTTCTGTTCTAATGGAGATCCTTCAATGTAAATCAAGCAGTCTCCCTAAGATAGTGGGTTTTTTTTTTTGACTATTCTATATCCACCACTTGACACCCCCCCCCGAGCAGGGGTGGCCAACCCATTTAACAAAGAGAGCCAGAAAAAATGCAAAGAGCCGCACTAGAATTGTCAAGCAAAAAACAAAACAAAACCCCAGAACAGAATTGTCGAGCAAAAACAATAAAAATAAAAAAAATAAAAAAAAAATCTGCCCCTTTAAGATGGCCACCATCTTAGGTGCCATTTTTAAAACCCCGCAGCTCTGACCCGGTAAGCGCACGGAAGCAGGGGGCCGAGGGGGAGCCAGCGGGGGGCGAGAGCTGTTTGCTTCACGAGCCGCACTTTAAGGGGGCAAGATCCACATGTGGCTCGTGAGCCGCGGGTTGACCACAGCTGCCCTAGACCTTATTCTAGTTCTGCATTTGGGATACATGCTGACAATTGAGAGCATTAATTAGTGGCAGTGACAGCTACCATGGACCCCTAGGTGAGGTGGGAGGTGGCTCCGTGCTTTGGGAAGGGGCAGAGCTAGGGCGGCCAGCCCTTTGCACTGCCCAGAGCATGTTGCACCCCACCCCCGGCCCTCAGAGCATGTAACATAGCACTCTGACCATGATTTAAAGGGCCTAGGGCTTCTGGCTGCTACCAGAAGGGTAGCCAGAAGCCCTGGGCCCCTTTGAATCACTGGGTCTTTGGGCAGCTGTCCCCTTTATCCCTCCTGTCAGTGGGCTTGGCACTAATTCTCTTCTTCTTTAGTTGCATAACTGAGTTAACTCTGGCATTGCTAATTGTATATGTAATAAAAAGTATGTAAAATAATGGTTAACAAATGTTACCTTTACAGAACCATTTTATCAAGAATTGTATCTTTCAGGTGTTGTACAGTCTGTTAAGGAAACTCTCAGCAGCCAATTTGTGGACAATTGCAAGGGGGTGGTTCAGAGGCTGACACTACAGGAGCACAAAATGGTGTGGAATCGAACAACCCATATCTGGTATGTCTACTTCTCTTGTGGTTTTGAAAAGATCCAGACATTTATGCACCACCTGTTGGTTTTATGATGAAGATATCTACCAAAGAAAGTAATTGGGTACTGAATTAGGTGAGAGAATTTATGGGTGGGATTTCATATGGTCATGAAGTCTACTGAATATTGTTGTACTTTGTCCTTGACCTTGATTTTGTAGCTCAGTTTTCTTATTGGGAGAGGCAACTATTGGGCAATTTCTTCTGTATAAAGTAACCCGTAAACCCAGGTTACTTAGTAACTAGTTGCCTGAGTATTTTGTTTTCCATGAATTATGGATGCTGTTTCAAAACTAGACAAATACTTTGTATCTGAATGGTCATGTGAGTTATTCAACCTTTAAAATGGCCTAGTCAGTATTTGGATGGGTTACTAGCAATGTTTCCTCTAATCTTTTCCATCCCTGTGTGGATTTTTTCATCCATGTGCAGAATAATTTTTATGTGCACCAATGCATGTGCAAATGTGCACCAACAGTAGAAACATAAAACCTAGCTATGGGCATTATGCTAATCTGTTGGGCAGCATTTGAATTTCTCCTGAGTGGCTGCACAAGTGCACAGCTTACAGTGATTACAGATCAATTTTGAATCAAGGTTCTAGTGTCGATTATCAGACTCTTTGTCGCTGGTAATGCTGTCATTTGGATCAAATCTTTAAGTATCACCTCTTTGTTACTAGTATCAGTCGTGGTAGTCTGAATCTGTATAAACAACTAGAAGACCTGTGGCACATTATAGACTAACAGATTTATTGGAGCATAAGCTCTTTGTTACTGGAGATCAAATTACACTTTTTAAAATAAATAATATTGTTAATCTTGGTTCTTAGCCAAATTCTATTTATTTTGGTTCCTTAAATTCTTTCTGCTATGAAAACTGAGTATGGTGGTAAGTGACACTGCTCTGTAATGTTGCTGTGCAGTGTTAATCAGCTGTTTGGATTAACTTCAGCGGTGAATATGTTTCAGCGTGGGTGAAATCATTCCTGTATATAAAGTTTTAAATGCCTTTAAAGCAGCAATGGGCAACCTAGGCTAATGAGCGGGCCTAACACTCCTTCATTTCAGCGGGCCGCAGGATTGTTGTAACCAAGACAGTCTTCCGGGATAGGGTAGTTTTGCTAACGGGCTCTTGTACATAGAATTTGTGCAGTGTGCCAATTGAACCGTGTTGTTCCTTTGGCCTCAGAGGGAGCACCAGTTCTCTCAGTCAATAATGTGTGCAGTCAGCACGCGTACCACTTCACGGGTCCTTGGTTTATGTGCATGTCATGTTAGTAATTCTGGTAAGAAAAAAACTCCATAAAATAAGCAGAATCTGGCAACCCTGCATGTGGGCAACAGTGAACAAATTGTCTTGTGGGCCACATATAGAAGCCCAAAGACCTGCATGTGGGCTGCAGGTTGCCCACCCTTGCCTTTAAAGTATTTCTGTTTTGAAGGTCATGTACATGTCATGAATACTTTTCAATAAGATTTAATGTCTTCCATCCCCCTTCCCATATTAGATCTTTCTTTAGGAGCTGAAAACTTTTCACTCTCAAACCCATTTTCTTTTCTTTTTTTTTTTTTTCCTTTTTTTGTTTGAGATGAGCGGGTAGAGTGCACTGGAGGTGGTAATTGAGAACGAAGACACCTGTAAATGCTCAGTTTCTGCACAAATTGATGTAAATAGGTCAGGTTTTTAGGCCTGCCAACTTTATTAGTTCTTTTTAACAGCTACTGCACTATTTTGGAAGTTTTTTGATACAATCGATGATGCTTTTGTTCTTAAGTCCTTGGCAGTGGAGCGGTGGGAATGGCAAAGCCTTAACATAGCCTGAACTATCATTAGCTGTGAGCCTTGTAGAGCATTCTCTCTGAGTCTGACCATTTTTCAATAAAATCATAAAAAATTAGTGTTGGTGAACTGAAGTGTGCAGCAAACAGTCACATTCTTCACCTACTTTTGAATTCTATTGGATTTTAACAGTTTACATTGGGGAGGGTATTTCACTCTATAGCCATGGGGAAAGTCATTATTACAAGCTGTTGAAACTTTGGGGTGGGGATTAAGAGTGGATGATTTCATGTAACTGGCCTACTCAGAATGCATGAAACTATTGGGTGTATGAAGCAGAAGTGTCTTGGGGGGGTGGGATTCTCTAAAACTAAAATTGCTGCAGTATTTATGGAGCCTGCATAAAGATTTCAAGATCAGGATGTGCTGTGACCCTCATGTATCTGCTAAAATACAGGCAGTCCCCGAGTTACGCGGATCCGACTTATGTCGGATCCGCAGTTACGAACGGGGCCCTTCCTCTCCCTGGTCTCCAGCAGACCAGGGAGAGGAAGCAAAGCGGCGGAACACGCGAGCAGCGGACAGGGCTGTCCGCTGCCCACGTGCTCCGCGGCTTGGCTCTGCTTTGCTCTGCTTTGCCCCCCCATCCCCCCCCGTTCCCCTGGTCTGCAGACCAGGGGGACGGGGGGCAAAGCAGAGCAAAGCCACAGAGCCCGAGGGCAGCAGGACAGCCACGGCGTGGCTGGGGTG